CGTTGCGATGGATTGCCTCACTTCCGGGTTTCCTCCGTAGTGGAATGTATATGGGGTCGAGTTCAATGTGTTTATTAAAAGCCTGCTTCGTGGCGTGCCATGCTTCCAGGAATTCTCGTGCTTGTCTCTGCCTAGCCTGTCCCAGGATCTTGGTGTTGTCCCAGCCAAAGTCGTGGTTCTCCTTGTCCACGCGGATTGAGATGAGTGAGTATTGGTCGTGTCTTTTTGTAGCCAGTTGGTGTTCATGTACTCTTGTTGTTAGTTTCCTTCCTGTTTGTCCGATGTAGTGTTTCTCGCAGTCTCTGCAGGGGATCTTGTAGATGACATTGGTCCTGTCCATGGCAGGGAGTGGGTCTTTAGTTCGGGTGGGCACTTGTCGTAGGGTTGATGTGGGTTTGTGTGCCACTCTGATGCCCAGCAGTCGTAGAAGTCTTGTGGTGAATTCTGACGTGTTCCTGATGTAGGGTAGTGTGATGAGTGTGTCAGGACGTGTAGAATCTTTCTGATGCTATTCCTGTAGGCATCTCCTGAGCCAGTTCTTTGGATATCCATTATCCTTGAACACTTGGAAGAGGTATTCCTCCTCCTCTTGGCGTAGTTCCATGTTGGTGCAGTGTGTTGTTGCCCTTTTAAATAGTGTTCGCACGCAGCTTCGTTTGTGTGTGCTGGGATGGTTACTATTGAAGTTCAATACCTGGTCTGTGTGTGTGGCTTTTCGGTGTACTTTCGTTTGCAGTTCCCCATTTGTCTTGCGCTCTGCCATGACGTCCAGGAATGGGAGTTGTTTGTTCTTCTCCTCTCTGGTGAATTTTATTCCGGTTTCACTGGGGTCATGTTCTTGTTCAAGTAGTGTTGTCATTGCTTCCCTTGCTAGTGGTATGACTATTGACGTGAATGAACTTAAGAACGAAACCCGAAGGAAACAACACACCCCGATTCTACGTCCTCCCTAAAGTGCACAAGCCGGAAGTCCCCCTCAGACCCATAGTCTCCCTACCAGGCACTCCATCGCACAGATTAGCCAGAGAACTACAAAGAAGACTCAAGCACTTAGGCAACAAATCACCCCACTCCATCCACTCAGCCCAAGAATTCCTCAACTCCATCAAAGACATAAAGATAGAGGATGAAGATACCATGATATCGTTTGATGTCACCGCCCTATTCACGTCAATAGATATACCACTAGCAAGGGAAACAATGACAACACTGCTTGAACAAGAACACGACACCAGTGAAACCATCTCTAAGGACAACATGCTTAAACTACTGACCGCTGGGCATCAGAGTGGCACACAAACCCACATCAACCCTACGACAAGTGCTCACCCGAACTAAAGACCCACTCCCCGCCATGGACAGGACCAATGTCATCTACAAGATCCCCTGCAGAGACTGCGAGAAACACTACATTGGACAAACAGGAAGGAAACTAACAACAAGAGTACATGAACACCAACTGGCTACAAAAAGACACGACCAATACTCACTCATCTCAATCCATATGGACAAGGAGACCCACGACTTCGACTGGGACAACATCAAGATCCTGGGACAGGCTAGGCAGAGACAAGCACGAGAATTCCTGGAAGCATGGCACTCCACGAAGCAGGCTATTAATAAACACATTGAACTCGACCCTATATACATTCCACTATGGAGGAAACCCGGAAGTGAGGCAATCCATCGCAACGGACCCCAGAGTTTTAAAAACCAGGCGGGAAAACACACTGACGCTTTATCAGAGGCTGCACTGAGGATGTTACCAAGCACGGTAACGAAACGTCTGCGGAACAACAAACCAGCTCGGCGAGCCGACCAACCTCAACAGGATAGAGAAGTGGGGTTGGGGGTGGGGTGCGGTGGTTGGTGGTGGTGGTGTCACAGAACTGTCACAACTTCACTGGGAAGATTGCGCTGATAATCATTTTCCAAAAGTCATCACAAATACATAGTGTATAAAATCTCAATGAGACCACCAGAAAAGACCAATTTGCCTGACTGATTGCTGTTCAGGATAATACAACCTGAGTGTATTTTTTCTAAGCAGAAAAAAACTATTGTAATGCACGTAACTTTAACAAGAGCTGTTCAAATAAAGAATTTCTAATTTATGCAAGTTAAACTATAACCCTTCAAACCCCTAAAACTCACGATTAAGACAAATGGTTTAACACATGTACAATGGCTTGAAAGAATATATAGAGTAAATAAAAGTCCAAAGATCAAAAGTCAGACCATAAGTTGAAAAAATATTTTTCTCACAGTGCTTTTGATTTTTGCAATGATAATATATTGTTCTCTATAGATTGATAGTGGTCATTTGATTCAATGGTTGATCAATTGAACTTGGGTCTTGTATAATTTTTTTTCTTTTAAGCTTTCCCAGGTTGTCTTTTGCCCACATGGAGAGAGAAATGCTTTCTGCCTGCAGACGCTGAATGTTTTCCACTCTGAGGCTCTTGGCACAGTTTTTTTAACAGCTCGATCAGAGGGCTGTTGCCAGGTAGAATTTTTTAACATGAAAGATTCTCAGTGACATTCAGTCTTAAATTGTGTCTTTTATTGCTTCCAAAAAAAAATTGTACTTTATAACTCAACAATACGCAACATTTGATTTCCAAGTGGAAAAAAAAATTCTTGATATTCTAGTTATAGCAGTTCAACTTCCATTTCAATTTATAGTTCTAAAAAATGAAAAACATGTGGTCTGTTATAATACAGAAATTATGAAAGGCACAATGCAGGTTAACAAGCAAAACAAGAAACTGAGGGAGATATCTGGAAGGATATAATTGCAAAACAGACATGGTATGTTTCATTATACAGAACCTTGCTTAGATCACACTTATAACATTGATATGGAGATACTAGTGAAGGTACAAAAAACTCAAATAATATCAAAACTGTGAGGTTATACCTAATAAGTTTGAATACACTTTCCCTGGAAAAGAAAAGACTAAGGGGTGACATATTGAAGTCTTCAAAATTATGGAAGGTTTTGATAGGGTAGATATAAAGAAAATATTTTCAGTGCAGATGAGACCAAAACTAGTGACAATAAATATTAGGTTGACATTAACAAATCCAATGAGAAATTCATAGGTACCATCTTCACCCAGAGAATGGTTAGAATTTAACAGTTGCTGCCACAAGGAGTGGTTGAAGCAAATAAACTAAATGCATATATAGGATTGATAGATAAGCACATGAAGGAGGGTTATGGGGTTATGTTAATTGAAGAAATAGTGGGAGAAACACTGGCCCACACCCATTGGGCTAATGTAGTGGCAGATTGTTGCATTGAAGATCTGTCTTCTTCCTTTGACACCCATATGTACAGAGACCCTGGAATAGCTCTGGGTAAATTACTTGTTCGTCTTGAGTTTTGCGTTTTGACAAAATATCCCGTCTATTTCAGCTGATCTGGAAGTATTTACATTTGGCACATCATGCGTCTTGGAGAGCACTCATATTTGTTTTTTATGTCCTCCCACTTGATTCCCAGTAGCTATCTACAGTAGTGCCAATGATGTTGTGCAAGGGCTTTAATATGGTTTCTATTAAATTTTTCAAGCTTCAGCATCGTAGAGTAGTACGAAGTGAACAACTGCCCAATAGACTTTGAGTTTATATTGGATCTAATATCACAATGTTTGAAAATGTAATTTAGTATGGCCGAACTGCCACATTAGATCTGGTGTCTTCATCAGTGTCAGTTTATTTTGGGGTAAATAGTTTCCAAAAACACTTCGCCATGGATCTCAGTTGAAAATTTTAGATTTTATATATCTGACATAAGTTGGTAGAGAATATTGGTCTTTCTGGTGTGCAAGTCAAGTCCCATGCTCTCATAGGCTTAGTTGAATATATCAACTAATTGTTGTCATTCTTCAGAGTTTTGTAATCTTCTAGTCCTTTGGCACCAGCCACATATCCAAGATAGATTTAAAGATTGGGTCCAGAACTTGTCTTAATAGCAAGGCCACAGCCCATGAATTAAAAATAACCTTCAATTCCTTCAGTAAGTAGGATGTACCTTTTCCAGGCTGGGCAACTTTTCTGCTTTGAGGATTGCAAATCTTTTAAGTAAATCCTCTTTACTTTTATCCTATGCAGAATGTGGAGTTTATTTTTAGTTTGTAGGAACTGTATTACTTAGAAAATATAGAAGTTTTGAGAGAAAAATTCAAATCATTCTGCAACTAGTCCTTACCAGGGTTCAACTTACACATGAACAAACAGTTCTAATCACATTTATGTGCTCTGTTCCTAAATCTCCTTATAGCCTTCTTTGTCATCCGTCTTTCATTTTAATCTTCAATGTTCACATTGGCCCTTCTTCAAATATTAATATTGGAAGTGAATTCTAGAATCCCACAACTCTCTGTATGAAGAAGATTTCCTTATTCTGTATTTGTGAATCTCTTAATTTAGTCTGATATCCACTGTTCTTTGTCCTTGATTCCTGTGAAGAGGTTTAATAAATTTGCAGATCAGTGTCTGAGATATGCTGTGATGTTATTTTGACCTCAGTAGTCATATGATAGAAACTAGATAGATTAGATTAGAATCCCTACAGTGTGGAAACGGGCCCTTTGGCCCAACAAGTCCACACCGACCCTCAGAGCATCCCACCCAGACCCATTCCCCTATAACCCATCTAATCTACAGATCACTGAACACTATGGGCAATTTAGCATGGCCAGTCCACCTAGTCTGCACATCTTTGGAATGTGGGAGGAAACTGGAGCATCCAGAGGAAACCCACGTGGACACAGGGAGAACGTGCAAACTCCACGCAGACAGTCGCACGAGGGTGGAATTGAACCCAGGTACCTGGCGCTGTGGGGCAGCAGTGCTAACCACAGAGCCACTGTGCTGCCCTGAAATTAATAACCAATGTGTTGCTAGGCACAGGTGAGAATCGAACCCATGATTTTTGGTTTTACAAGACCAATGCCTTCCCACTTGGCCACCGGGCCCTAAAAGGAGCGCATCACCCAACATGGGGCCTGAACCCACGACCCTGAGATTAAGAGTCTCACGCTCTACAGACTGAGCTAGCCAGGCTCAGAGTCTGTCAAAAAGTTGGAACAAGAACAGCTCTAGGCAGAGATGCCTGCTACTGAAGCATCATGTACATATTATCATAACTATTGTTTAAAGAAACACTTTGAGGTCTGGCCTTAAGTTATCTGAACAGACAAACCCACACTAAAATATGGTGGGGTACCAGTGGAGACATCAACCTGGAGTAGTTGATTGATTGATTGATTTATTGTCACGTGTACTGAAATACAGTGAAAAGCTTTGTTTACAAGTGATGCAGGCAGATCACAGCAAACAAAGGATCTACAGATCAAAAAGACTTAGAGCCATACAGGATACATTGCAGGTTACATTATTTGAGGCTTGAGTCCATTCAACAGTCTGATAAAGGACGGTAAGAAGCAGTTCCTGAACCTGCTCACATGTGCGTTCAGGCTTTTGTATCTTCTGCTTGATGGAAGAGGTTGTAGGAGATCATTACCAGGGTGCGATGGGTCTTTGATGATGTTGGTCACCTTTCCGCAGCAGCGAGCCATGTAAATAGTCCATGGATGGAAGGTTGGCTTCCGTGATGGTCTGTACTGTGCACACCACCTTCTATAATTTCTTACAGTCCTGGACAGAGCAGTTGCTATAACAGGCTGTTATGCACCTGGGCAGTCTGCTTTCAGTGGTACATCTGCAGATGTTGGTGAGGGACCTTATGGACATGCCAAATTTCCTCAGCCGCATGAGGAAGAAGAGGCATTGTTGTGCCTTCTTTACTGTCGCATTTACGTGGGTAGTCCAGGACACATTGTGGGTTACTGTGACTCTGAGGAACTTGATGCTCTTCAGTCCCTCAACCTCAGTTCCATTGATGTTGATGGGGCGTGTTCTCCTCCTTTCTTTCTGAAGTCAGTGATCAGTTCTTTAGTTTTACTGACGTTAAGAGACAGATTGTTTTCATTGTGCCATGTCACCAAGCCCTCTATCTCCCTTCAGTATTTTGGTGGTGTTTTCTTCAGAAGAATTTGAAGTACCAAAAGGAAAATCTTCTGAATTCTTTAAGTTGAAGATCTACCAGAGGTGAGGAAAGTAAGATTTACACCGAATAGTATGTCTGTGCTAGCTGAGCAGTTTCTGCCATCAAAGGGCTGATACAGCCACAAAGATGGGAATTGTGGAAGATGCACTCTCAAAAATATAGACCAGCCTCAGATCTCTGTTTGAAGCAGCAAAAACTTGAGGTCAGTGTTTTCTTACAGACAGTGACCCCCACTGGAAGATGTCCTTATCAGAAGAGACATTGATGATTCCTCAGTAGATTTTCAGTCTGAATTAGCAGCACTTAATATCTATTTTAGCCCAAAACTATCCTTATTATTGAATGTGCCCAGTTTAGCCACTGGTCCCAAAATCCTGGAAAATTGTTTGATTTCTTTATGAATGATTTATATAAAGATAGGCCAGTTCATGTGGTTATGATACACCAGGGTTATCAATGACGAACTTTCTGCTTTCTTGAGTCTGAAAAAGACATAGTGTTGATTAGGCAAGCCAAGCGAAAAGCGCGAAACTCGAATGTGACTCAGGGAAACTCAAAGGCTGTGTCCAAGTCCATCATCTTGGTTAAATACAAATATGCCTGTTCAGCCTTACAAGAAACCTGACAAACCCAGGGAAAAGGTGGGTAATATATTTTGACGCATTTTGTAGTGTTGGATGGCAATGCAGGTAACAAGATTGCCCAGCAGGGACACAGAGTATTTCCACTGTGGCAGAATTGGTCATTTTCAACAATTTTGTAATTCAAGAGCACCTCTCAAAAAACAAATCAAACCCTAAAAGATGGAGAATCCAACAAATTGATCGAGAAGGAGAAGTGAACGTGGAAATCACACACTTTTTGGTCCAGTAGAAATCATTGGCCCGACAGCAGTAGTTGATAATCTGGATCAGCAATTTCAGTCAAGCACCTGAAGAGTCAAGAATATTGACACTAAATGTTGTCTGAACTAGGGAGGCGATGATTATAGTTCTTGATAACACATTAGAATGGCTTGGGATCATATGCCTCAACCATTAGGGTCCAGGGACATAGGTGCAGAACCCTTCCTGTTAAAGGCCATTTTGTAGCAATGCTTAACTATAGTGATAAAGTTATTAATGACCTTATTTATGTCTTACAGAATCAGAAAATGTCCCTTTTGAGTTTGCAGGCTGTTATGCAACTAGTCTTCACACTGATACAAAACACTCCATGACTATATTTGTGAGGAATTGTCTCAGTTCCCCCAAGGAACATGAACTTCCAATAAGTTTAGATGACAATTTGCCAAGATTTACCCAACTTTTCCAAATAACTGAAGTTTGATACCAAGAAAGTCAGATGATCCCTGTTAGCTTCAGAATACACCTCATCAAAGCTCTGTGCAGCCTGCTGGTAAACCTCATGCAACATCAGCCTTCACTTCATGATTTTCACTCTACTTTAAATATCGCAAACAAAAATCAGAAGTCCACATAGGAAAAAAAAGGAGGAACATTGCACCTCATCCAACCATGCTTTAACAAGGAATGTTGGATAACAGACCAGAAAATCTCTGAGCTCCTTGAATCTGTAATTCAATTATTTCTTTAGTAACTTCTGAACAGTAGACACAGCCGGGGGTGAACTGGACAACTGCCCAGGCCCAACCAGTCTTTCAAGGTTATAAGGTGTGGGATTGGTAAAGGTTGGGAAGAAGCTCACATGAAACATATGCACCAGAATGGATCTTTTGGGTCAAATGTTCAGTTTCAACATGACAGATTATTTGTAATATTAATTAATTACTTAGTATGCCTTTCCAGGTATTTCTAAGTCCTCATACAAGGCAATATCCCATTGAATCTACATTTGAAGGCTTGGTATCCTTCTTGTAGCTTGGAGCCAAACACTATACACAGAAATCAAACCAAAGTCTCATTAAGGTTTTATATAGGCTTATCATTACTTTGACTTCTATATTCCATATCCCTTGAGATAAAACCTAGGATTCTACTATTTTTTTGTTATTAACAAGCTTTTCAGTCTGAGTTGTTGCCTTTCATGTACTGAGAACTTTCAAGTCCCTCTGCTCCTCTACTGCACTGAGATTTTCATTTCTCATAGAATGACTGGTGTTATTTCCTTTATTAAAATGTATCATCTCACATTTATAGACATTGAATTCTTGTTACTGTTCCCTCTAAGCTGTCGATTTTCTTTATCTTCATCTCAACTGTTATGAGAAGGTCATGTATCCCATCCCCTGCATGGATCAACTTCTAAGCCTTGAGTTTAAGTTTTACTGTAAGCTTGAGCACAAAATCTTGTTTGACTTTACAATATTGCTAATAGTTGCCGACACAGCAGTAATAATTACTGTTCGAAAAGTAATCAATAACTTCCCAAGTAATTTCTGTGTTGCTACATGGATCTTCAGCGTGTGTTTTACTGGGCTTTTATATTTTCCACGTGGAGTAGGATGTGAATGCACATCAACCTGGAAGGGGAATTGGAGAATTAGGCTGCAAATATTGACCCTGTGGTGTTACTGGAAGGGCAGATGTCAACCCCATTGTGTTACAGCAATTTAATTCCAGAGAAATTAAACCTTTATGTCGAATCTTTATGTTCAACTAGACTGAATCTCCCCAGTTTCTGTCTTGTGAACTATGGACTCTTCTTCCATTAATACTCACAAAACTGAGATCTTAGACATTCTCAGCTTCTAATAATCTGCAGATTTCTAACCAAACACTCCTGGTGTGAAAGTTGTACAAACTAAACTTTTTGATTGATGTAATTTGTTCCTTTGAATGCTTTGGAAAACTCCTTATTACTTGTTTCTGACCCCAGTCAGGTTTTCTTGAGACTGTTTTAAAAATCTTTAATTTCGTGGTTTTCTAACCTACTGTCAATCCTTGATTATTCTAAGCAGAAAGCAAACTATTGGCCTTCAATGTTTGCTTTCTGACATAAATCACCCCAGATAAACTAATTTTTCATTAGCACTTCAGCAAGTCCCTGCTCTCTGACATGTACTGGATTAGGTCATTGTTCTGGAAGAACTGTCTGACACAGATTTTTTTAAAGCCTTCACAAAAGTAACCAATACCCAAATGCCACTATTTTAAAATCTGAAGTCTAAAAATCACACGAACATAAATATATATTACACCCCTCTCTTCAAAGTAGCTAGTTCTTGAGCACAGTACTTGAGAAGGTGGTGGTGAGCTGCCTTCTTGAACTGCTGCAGTTGGATTTGTCACTGAAGATGGGGATGTTTATGGAGTCTCCTCCCATTAGTAGTTCAGTCATCTACCACCATTCACAACTTGATGTTACATAGCTGCAGCTTTTTTGACCTCATTCATTGGAGATGGTATAATTTCGCTCTGTTGTAAGTGTGGTCATTCTGTGGTCATTATTTCACAAGAATCAACTAATCTGGGTCAGATACATCCTAAATTTCTAAGGGAAACTGGAATGGAGATGGCATAAGCTCTGATGACAACAATTGAGCTTCCTTGAATATTGAACACAAGAAGTAGGAACTGGAGTAGACCTTTGAACCTGCTCCACATTCAACAAGATCTTGGGATGACAGGACTTACATGAAGAGAGCGCGGATCAGTTAGGACTAACAAGTTTAGAAGAATGAGGGGGTATTTCATAGAAACCTATAACATTTTAACAGGAACAGAATGGGTAAATGTAGGAAGGATGTTCCTGATGTCTGGGGAGTCCAAGACAACAAGGCTATGTCGTAGGCCATTTAGACTGAGAAGAGGAGAAATTTCTTCACCCAGAGAATGGTGAGCCTGTGGAATTCTCTGCCAGAAAGCAGTTAAGGTCAAAACATTGAATATTTTCAAGAATTTATATATAGTTCTTTAGGGTTTAAGGGATCAAAGGGTTTGGGGAAAATGAGGCAACAGGCTCCTGAGTTGGATGATCAGCCATAATAATATTGAATGGCAGAGTAGGCTAAAAGGGCTAAATGGCCTACTTTTGCTCCAATGTTCTAAGTTTCTTATCTGCTACTTCATTTGCACAGATCCCATATTCCTTTCTCCATTTAGTACCAAAACATCTATCAGTCTACCTCAAATATAGGCATCATAAAAGGATGCTGTAAGGTTTTTAATAGCTTTCTTTCAAAGACTTCAGTGCATACGTCTTTGGGCTCTTTCATCACATACTTTGGTTTTGTTTACATTGCCTCTTCTCATTCATTTTAGCAAAAGTAGCCATATCCATCTTCCCTGTGTTAAATTTCATTAGCTATGAATATGCCTATTTCACTAATCTGTCACGTCATTTTAAAATTTGTTAAAATGCCCCTTACTGTTTACCACATTTCTGGGCTTTGTGTCGTAAACATACCTTGAAGTTATGCCCTTTACATCTAAGTGCAGATCATTAATAGTTATCAAAAAGAGCAGTGGTTCCAACACTAACCCCCTCGGAAAACCATTGCACATGCTCTTTTATTTTTAGAAGCAACTCTTCACCACTTCTCTGCTTTCTGCCTCAGCTAATTTCATATTCACACAGCGCTTTAATTCCAAAGGCTTTAATATTGCTAACAAATCTATTTTGTGGTTCAATAAGTCCTCATGTAAAGTTGCAGTGTTCCTGAAAATTGCTATTTTAAATGAAGCAACTTTAAATGATGATTGGTTCTCACAGGAATCAATGTTAAAGTCAGAGTTAGGGTCCTTTTGACATTTCTTGCTCAGAAAAAAAAACAATGTACAAGTTGAAATACATATCATACATGTACATCACTGTGCATTCGTAGTTCGCAATAATGTACAAAATAAAAATCACTATATGTGAAAAAAAATTGTATAATTAAACTCAGTCACATAATACCCACTAGTCTTTCTTATAGCTCCTTGGGTTCAAGAATGACTTGTTTCCACTCTGGCTCAATGGGTTCTGAGATAGAAGATAACACTAATGCACAATCTCTAGACTCTGCCATATGGAAGATTTGCTTAGAGGTCTTTTCACCCTCTACCCTGTTGACTTAGCTTCTGCATGTTCCTGACAAAGTCTCTTTATGATCGGTGCCTTCCCAATGAACTTTTTTCCATTTTATCAGGTACCATGAGTTGATTAAAATGTTTGCCATCCTTAGTGATGCTTTGAGGACATCCCTAAAATATTTCAGTGAAATTGGCTTTGAGTGAGTTAGCTCCTCGACACTGGAAATACTGGTTTGGGGGAAGACCTTGCTGCCGCACTGTCACACTTAGGACACAATTTACGCTACACATTGTTCAGACACAACAACATGACTTCATCTCATGAAAAAGCAAAATTGGAATTGTTGGTTGGTTCACCGAGCTGACTGATTTTCGTGCAGACTTTTCATCCCCTTTCTAGGTGACATCTTCAGTGCTGTCTAGCCTCCGTTGAAGCATTGTTGTTCTGTTCCGTTCTGAATTTATATGGTCCGGTCTGTTATGGTGGGTAGTTCTGTTTCTGGTTTTGCTCCATAATGGTATGTAGATGGGGTCTTATTTCAACATGTTTGTTTATGGTACTAGTGGTTAAAAATCAGGCTTCCAGGAATTCTCATGCTTGTCTATGTCTTGCTTGTCCTACTGCTGTTACGTTGTCCCAGTCAAACTGATGTCCTTCTTTTTCGGAGTGAATAGAAATGAGGGAGAGTTGGTCGTGCCGTTTTGCTGAAGTTGGTGTTCATGTATCCTGGTGGCGAGTTTCCTGCCCGTTTATCCTATGTATTGCTTCTCGCAGTTGCTGCATGATATTTTGTCCTGCTCATTGTGGGTATGGGGTCTTTCATCTTTGAGAGTAGCTGGCAAAGTGTGGCTGTTGGTTTGTGTGCTATCATTATTCCAAGAGTCATAGGAATCTTGTATTCAGTTCCAATATGTTTCTAATATAGGGTAGGGTGGCCAGTGTGTTAGGGCGTTCAGTGTCTTCTTGGTGTTGTTTATTTGCCAGGCTTCGGTGGATGAAGCTGGTAGGATACCCATTGTTTGTAAAGACCTTGTATAGATGTTCCTCTTCATTTTTGCGTAGTTCCGGGGTGTTGCAGTGTGTTATTGCTCGTTTAAACAGAGTCTTGACACAGCTCTGTTTGTGGACGCTGGTGAAGTTACTGTTGTAATTCAGGATTTGGTCTGTGTGTCTAGATTTTCTGAATTCACTGGTAAGGAATTCACCGTTGTTCGTTCGTTCCATCATTACATCTAGACACAGGAGTTGATTGTTGTTCTCCTCTTCCCTCGTGAACTTGATCCCGGTGAGTAAGCTGTAAATACGGTGGTGTGTTTCTTCTGACTTTACTCGTTTAATGATCACAAAAGTATCGTCCACGTACCTGACCCATAGTTTAAGCTGGATCTGGGGAAGGGCTGTGCTTTCAAGTCTTTGCATAACTGCTTACACTGTAAGACCCGAGATGGGTACTAGACCTAGGCCTTAGTCTTCAACGGCTAGGTATATGAACAAATTAATGGGACATCCATGGGTTCACCCCTCTTGGGTCTTATAGAACTGTGAAAATGTGAGGAGGATGATACGTCAGTTTGTGAATGACACAATGATTGGCTGGGTGGTTGACAGTGAGGAAGAAAGTCTTAGATTACAGGAGAAAATGGATGGATTGGTCCGATGGCATATCAGTGATGGAATTTAACTGTGATGAGTGTGAGGTGATGCACTTCAGAAGTAGTAACAAGATGAGGGAGTACTCAATAATTGGCAGGACACTAGGAAGCTCAGAGGAATAGAGAGTTCTTGGGTTGTTTATCTACAGATCCCTGAATGTGGTAGGACAGGTTAAAGGGATAGTTAAGAAGGCATATGGACACCTGCCTTTATCTGTTGTAGCATAGATTATAAGAGCAGGGAGGTTATGTTGGAATAGACAAAACTTTGGTTTTGGCCACAGTTGGAGCTGTGTGCACTTCTCACCGTGCTATAGGAAGGATGATTATTATGGAGGGCGTGCAGAGGAGATTTGTCGAATTTTGCCTGGGATGGACCATTTTGGTTATGATGAGAGGCTGAATAAGCTTGGAGGTTGTTTTCTTTAGAGAAGAGAAGGCTGAAATGGGATCTGCTTGATATGTATGAGATCAGGTCATGTATATGAGTGCCATGGACAGGGTGGATAGAAAACAGCTGTTCCCCTTAGTTGAAGGGCAGTAACAAAGGGACATAGTTTTATGGTGAAAAGCAGGAGATTTAGAGGGGATTTGAGGAAAGCTTTCTTCACCCAGAGGGTAGTGGGAATTTGGACTGCACTACCATTAAAAAGTACTTGGATGACCACTTGGATAGTCATACATGAAAGGCTATGGGCCAAGTATTGGAAAATGGGACTAGATTTAAAGTCATTTTTGTCAATGCAAACTGAAAGGGCCAAAAGGCTTCTTCTGTACTGTATAATTTACTATGGATGCTTTTGGGTGTCAGCAAGTGCCGCCTACTTGGTCAAGTGCTGCCTTTATGTTAAAGTCAGTCACTTTTACCTCAGTTTTGGAGCTTAGCTCTTTTCCCCTTTTACAGACTGTAAAGCTGTAATGAGTTCAGGAGATGCATGGCTTTGCTGGAGCCTAAACAGAGTGCCAGGAAGCCGAATGCTGCTGAGAAACTGCTACTTGCTGGCACTGTCACTAATGATGAAGAGTAGACTGATGGGATGATAACAGGCTGGGTTGGAACTGTCCTGCTTTTTGTGGACTGACATACCTGGACAATTTTCTACATTGTTGGATATATGTTAGTGTTGTAGATATAGTGGAACACCTGGAGAGGTCCATGACTAATTCAAGATCACAAGTCTTAAGGACTACAGCCAGAATGTTATCAGGGCCGAGAGCCTTTGTAGCATCCTGTGCCTTTAGCTGTTTGTTCATATCACATGAAGTGAGTTGAGCAATGGTTATACCTACCAATATGATCACGTACAGATGCATCTAGAATTGGTGCATCGGTGAAGATGAGGTCAAGTAAGATTATCGGCACCTGCTGCAGACCCAGTCTTGCAGTGAAATCCTTTACAACTTGGCCAGCTCAGTCAAAAGCAGTGCTACCAAGCCACTTTTGATGATGGTTATTAAACTCATTCAGACTACATTCTGTACCCTTACCACCCTTAGTGCTTCTTCCATTTAGTGTTCAACTTAGAAGATTACTAATTCATCAGCTGAACTGGGATGGGAACAGGAGGTGGTAGTCAGGAGGAGGCTTCCTCAATATGCACTGAGCATGACATCGAGCAGGCCACCCTTTTTTTATTATTCCATGGGATGTGGGTGATGTTGGCAAATTGTTGCCCAAGCCTAAATGCTCTTGAACTGAATGTCTTGCTAGGCAATTTCAGATGGCAATTAAGAATCAATCATATTCCTGCGGGTCTGGAATCGCATCTAGGCCAGACCACATTACAATGACAGATTTTCTTCCCTAAAGAAAATTCGTGAACCGGATGTGTTTTAGCCATTATTGATAATAGATGATAGTTTCCTAATCTCCACTACTGAAATGGAGCTTTTTAATTATCAATTTATTAATTATATTCTACCAATGCTGAGATAGGATTAGTCTCCAGAACAGACCCTGTCATGACTCCCTGGGTAACGCACATGGAAAACAAGCCTTGCTGGTCCTGGAGTCTTCTAAAATTTTAAAATAAACATTCAAAATCCCATTACTACCTGATTTTCAAATGAAGGTTATAGAGTCAGAGTTATACAGCATAGAAACAGAACCTTTGGTCCAACTCGTCCATGCCAACCAAATATCCTAAATAAATCATTTGGCCTATATCCCTCTAAACCCTTCCTATTCATATACCCATTTTATGCCTTTTAAATGTTGTAATTGTACCAGCCTACAGCACTTCTTCTGGCAGCTCATTCCATACACGCATCAAACTCTACATGAAAAAGGTTGTCCCTTCAGTCCCTTTTAGATCTTCCCCCCCCTCACGTTAAATCTATGCCTTCTAGTTTTGGACACCCCACCTTGGGGAAAAGACTTTGTCTGTGTACCGTATCCATGCCCCTCATGATTTTATAAATCTCTGTAAGATCACACCTCAGCCTCCAATGGTCCAGGGAAAATAGTCCCAGTCAATTCAGCTTCTCCCTATAGCCCAAACCCTCTAACCCTGGCAATATCCTTGTAAATTTTTTCTGAACCCTTTCAAGTTTCACAACATCCTTCCTATAACAGGGAAACTAGAATTGCAAGCAGTATTCCAATAGTGGCCTAACCAATGACCTGTACATGACATACTCAGTGCACTGACCAATGCAAGTGTACCAAACACCTTCTTCATTATCCTATTCACCTGAAACTCCACTTTCAAGGAACTATGAACCTGCACACCAAGGCCTCCTCATTCAGCAACACTCCTCAGGTAATAGAAAGATTGGACCAGATTTATGCATTTAACAAAAAATCACTATTTATTACAGCTAATTAGATTCCAGTAATCAGTAAATAATTAAATTAAGTTAAACTGTACAAATTAAAACTTTAAACCCCTTTAAACTCCCCTTTATATACATGATCAAATGCCATTTATAAATTCACTGACAAAACCACCGTAGTGGGACAGATATCTAACAATGAGTCAAAATGCAGAAGGGAGACAGAGCTTGGTGATGTGGTGCAATAAAAACAATCCATCTCTCAATGTCGGTAAAACTAAAGAACTGATCATTGACTTCAGAAAGAAAGGAGAACACGCCCCCATCTACATCAATGGAACTGAGGTTGAGAGGGTGGAGAACATCAAGTTCCTCGGAGTGACAATAACCACCGACCTGTCCTGGACTTCCCACGTAAATGTGACAGTCAAGAAGGCACAACAACACCTCCTCTTCCTCAGGTTGATCAGGAAATTTGGATGTCCATAAGGTCCCTCACCAACTTCTGCAGATGTACCACTGAAAGCATACTGTCCGGGTGCATAATGGCTTGGTATAGCAACTGCTCTTCCCAGGACCGTAAGAAACTACAGAAGGTGGTATGCACAGTCCAGACCATCACGAAGTCAACCTTCCGTCCATGGACTCTATTTACATGGCTTGCTGCTGTGGAATGGTGGCCAACATCACCAAAGACCCTGGTAATGATCTCCTACAACCTCTTCCATCAGGCAGAAGACACAGAAGCCTGAACACACGCATGAGCAGGTTCAGGAACAGCTCCTTTCTGGCCATTATCGCACTGTTGAATGGACTCTAGCCTCAAATAATGTAACCTGCAATGTGACCTGTGTGCCTCAAAGTCTTTTTGATCTGTACATCCTTTGCTTCCTGTGATCTGCCTGTACCACTCGTAAACAAAGTTTTTCACTGTATCTCGATACACGTGACGATAAAAAAAAAATCAACCAGTGATCAGAATAAAAACATAAGAGATAAAGAGACATTGGAGGGGGGAAAACTGGACATAAACAGTTCCTAGTTCTTGTTCAGAAGATCTGTTGGGTTGGTTCTTGCTGATCTGAAGGTTTTTCCTTGCTATTTCTTTTTCCAAATACTTCCACTGGTTTACAAGATGCTCAGTGAGTCTGGTTCACTTATGAAAGCTTTTTGACTTATTCATTTCAAATGCATCTGGTGGGGGAAACTTGAGCTTTTTATTTCCAGGTTTAGTAGTTCACTGCAAAGAACTGAGAACAAGATTTTTTTTTGCTTTTTCAGACCTACTGGTGTCTTTTCTGGTTTGACAGTGCTTCTCTCTGTTTTATTTACACACAAGCTGTTCAACTATCTAACAACCGATTACATCATGCGCCAATAGCGAATAGCAGAGGATGGTTTCAATCCAGCAGCGTCTGGGTTATGGACCCAGCACACTCCCGGGAACCAATTACATAGTTGTTGGCAGAGGACTGCACGGTGGCACAATGGTTAGCACTGCTGCCTCACAGCGCCAGGGACCTGGGTTCGATTCCACCCTCAGGTGACTGTCTGTGTGAAGTTTGCACATTCTCCGTATCTGTGTGTCAGACTGTTGAATGGACTGCGTGTCTGCGTGGGTTTCCTCCCACATTGTAAAGATGTGCAGGCTAGGTGAATTGGCCATGCTAAATAGCAAGTAGTGTTCAGGGATGTACAGGATAGGTGGGTTTATAGGGGGGATGGGTCTGGGTGGGATGCTCTGAGGTTTGATGTGGACTTGTTGGGCCGAAGGGCCTGTTTCCACACTGCAGGGATTCTATAAAAAAAAGGACCTTTGTCATTGATAACTTGTCCCTAGTCCACAAAAAACAACCCCTCAGCTCCAATTCATCTGAACATTGCTGAAACCTACAGCTACACAAATAAGTAAGGTTCATAGAATCATAGAATTGATAGAGTCTGC